TTGTTCTTGCCCAGCTCGCCCATCCTCTCCTCGAGCTCGCGCAACCCGTCGTCGTCGACATCGTTCTCCGGCGACACCTTCTCCATCGTGATGAGCCAACGGCCCCATCTTCCAAAGTCTTGCAGCGAGTAGTGGATCATGCGCATGCGGCCCTGCCCCGCCTTGCGACGGTGCTGCGGCAGGTCGATACTCACCGACCGCTCGATGGCGGCCGATGACTTGGCATGGCTGCCTGCCTCGCCCTCGACCTCGTCTTCCTCCTCGGGGTCGATCATGGACGGCAGCCAGAATACCAGGCGGCCACCGTCGCAGAGAAGGCTGTAGGCATAGTCGAGCAGATCATCCACAAGGTCCTCAAGGTGGTACGGACGGGTGGGCGGAATGTAATCGGATCGCTCGTGCGACCAGCAGCCTTTGCCCTCTCCAAGTCCGTCCGGCATCCAGAATGGCTCCGAGCGTTGCTTCTCCGGGTCCCTCTTTCCGAGTCGCTTGGCACCCGCTCGCACGCCGTAAGGGGGATCGGCAACGATGCCGTGAACCACACCACTTGGCGGCTTCTGATCCTTGCTCGGCGTCTCCTCTGCATGTAGCGGGAACAGCAGATCCTTGCGCCACGGGTTTTGAGTCATGTCAAACACCACCGTGTCGAGAATGTGATCGCGCACGCCGTACTGCGTGGCGCTCTTGACGATGCCCGTCTTGCTGCTCGAGTCGCTGATGTTGTCCTTGCCACGCATCGGTCGGCCGTCGATGTCGCTTCCAAACGCCATCGCACCAAACACGGCACTTGCATACAGCATGGAGCCCGTTCCCGCGAAAGGGTCGTAGATGAGTTTGCCCGGGCCGGCCAGCGCCATGCTCGCCATCAGGAGGCTCATCTCGGATTCCATCGACGTGTTGCCAATGTAGACGCGCTTCTTGAGGTTGAGTTTCTCGATCAGATCTCTGGCCAGGCCAGTCTGACCCTCCTGCGTGGGATCGCTCGACTTTCGCGGAGCCACGGGTGCTGCTTTCTCTGAGTAGAGAGGGCCAGCGTGGACGTCGATGCGCCTGCCGAGGAAGATCTGCACAAGCCTGGGGTCCTTGTCGCCCAGCTCCTCTCTGCCATGGGCCTTGTCGGTGTCCTTGCCTGCGCCGGGATAGTTGTTGTGCTCGTCGCGCAGATGCCCAGGCCACAACTCTTGCGCGATGAATTCCTCCATCACTCCCCATCGCATCGAGGGGTTCTTGAGCTGGATCCGGCCTTTCAGGTCCATGTAGCTGAAGCTTTGGATAATGTCGATCTTGCGCTTGTCGCTGATGGTGTAGCTGTACGAGAAGACGTGTGCCTTCCACGACGGGCAATCGGCTTCCTCAACATACGACGACCAGAGCGCTCGGTTGGCCACCTCCTGGTTGCGGTTGTGGAGTTCCTCGTAGCTGGCACCGTGGGACCAGTAGGCCCAAACAGATCGCAAGGAAACGCAACGGCGGAGCAAGTTGACGGCTGCTTCGTCGTTAGGGAGATGCGCGAGCGCGAACGGGCGTCGCAGGTCCGGTCGGTAGCCCGAAGACGAGGCTTGCTCGGCAGTGTCGTGCGCCTTGCGGCTCTCCTCCAGAATGGGCTTGGCAGGAGTTGGAACGAATGCGAATGGAATGCGCAGGTACTCGGCTGCGGCAAGAAAATCGGGCAGGCGGAAGGCGTGGTGCGAGGTTGCAAAGTGCAGCACGTACAGCGGCCCAATCGAGGTCGGATCCTCTACGGGAGGGAAGCACGCCACCATAGTGAACGAGGTGGTGTCGGTCGCTCTTAAGTATCTGTCTGTAGAGTTACGAACGACAATTCCCGCTTAAGAATCTAAATGAGAAGGTCTTTGAGGATGGTGGGAGGGTACCTCTCTGGCTTGCTCTTCAGTTGCTCACGGCAGAGGAATAGGAAGGCAGCAAAAAAGGGCCGCAGGAAGAAATGTCGAACCCGCAGAGGCGCAAGCCAAGTCCAAAAAAAGGGCAGGGCTGTTGTCCGAATTCCGAGGGTGGCAGAGGACCCTTGAAAAGTTGCTGGCAAGGCGAGTTGCAATCAAATGTCAATCAATATTTGCAATTGGCCCACCGTACCCGCGTCCATCTCGTCTCGATCGAGACCGCTTCGATCCGACACCATTCCTTCGAGCTTGGCCGCCTGTCAGCTGCCAGCCGTCCGCGTACGCCTCCATACCACTCGACAGGCTCGACAGCGGGCGACCTCACCGCAGATTGGACGCCGGCCCTGACCAGATCGGCCAGGTGGTCAGGCTGGCGTCGACGAAAGGGGCGCTGAGCCCATCTTCCTGGACCGCTGCGGCTACGTCGAGGGGATACTTTCCCGGACAAGGATCGACTGCCCGCCATGCCTCGCCGCAAAATAGGAGCAGACCTGAAAGAGGCGCTGTGCAAGCTCTACGAAGCGGGAGACATCAGCGCCGACACGATTGAGAAGCACGGCATCATGTCGCGCGCCACCTTCTTCCGCAACCTCAAGATGTACAAGAGCGGCGCAAGCCTCGAGCAGCGACACAGCACCGGTCGCAAGACCAACGCAGACAAGCTCAAAGAGCAAGACAAGCTGGAGCTGGATGCGCTTCGACCCCCGCACCTCTCCCATCTGGAGCTTGTTCTGCTACTCGATGAGGACGACAAAGGTCTGCAAGAAGGATCGGCTCGGAATAAGAGGAAGGCAAAGGCGAACGCAACCAGTTCCAAGAGGAGAGACCTCGGGAAGAGCGCAGCTGGAGAAGCAAGTCGCAGCGAGGGCACAGCGATGAGGGACGAGTCAGGCTCAGAGAGCGATGGGGACTCTGATGACGCCGCCATCCTCGCCAAGCATCAGGCGCTCGCGAAGCTCAGGCAAGCTGCAAGGTCGTTCTTGGCCGCTGACGGCGTCGCAAGTTCGTCTCGTGGCGTGGACCAGAGCACGATGGATGACAGAAGCGGCATCAACGACCTCGACTCTCTTCTGAAGCCCGAAGACAGCCATTACTCGCACGTCAATCGAGGTGCACTCTTCATCGTGAGACCCAAAGGCGAGGCCAGGGAAGATGGGCCGACAGGCGGTATCATCGCAGCCATCGCCTTGCGCTCTCTGATTTGGACGCCGGAGATCTATCAAGCGCTGGGACCCAGCTATGCCGGCCGCAGCATCGATCGGATTTGCAACCTCGTTCATCTGCGCGTCGATGCGCGCTGGCAGCGCCGAGGCATCGGCCGATGGCTCGTCAACGTTGCTGGACTCAAAGCGGCGAAGCTTGGTTTTTCCCACCTCTACACGCAAAGCGACTCCGGTCGAGGCGAACTGCTCTCGTTCTGGCAACGTACGGGCTTCACCGAATTTGCTCGATTCGACAACGTTGCCAGGTTCGAGCAGGTTGCTGCGGCTGCAACGATGCCAGCGAACGCGCAATCTGAGCCGACGAAGCCGGCCAGGCGAGCAACACATGCAACTTTGGCTTCTTCATCTACTGCACCTCCTCGCAGGACAATAGCCTACGCCAACGACCACGCGGCAGCGGGGCAATCGAGTCCTCAGATACAGACGCCTGGCCAGACTGGACCGGACGGGGCGCAGGTCAATCAGCTCACGGCGGAACTCGATCTGCCAATTCCGTTGGATCCATCCATATCATCTAATTACGTGGATCAAAGCTTGCTGGTTAGAGCTGAAAGAGCGGAGCCGATCGTGAGTTCCGCTCCTCATGCAGCACCGGCATCGGCTGCAGCATCGGCTGGGGATCCGACGGACACAGCGTCCCAGCCTGTCAATATGGCGTCCACAGCGACTGCAGCTGGATCTGCGATGCCCTCGAACGAGCCACCACGCGCTGCAGTCGGCCCTCCGCCAAGAAGGATCGCGTTTCACGAAGCAGCCGATGTCGAAGGCGGCAAACCTCGTCGTTGAGCGATGCAGGCTTGTACACTCCGCCTTCGTTGGCGATCCCAGCCAAGTTATCGACGAAGTGTTTCGTCGCAAAAGACAATATGCAGCAGCTGCGCATGCATGCAGTCACTCTCGCAGACATGTCAGGGCGACTATGAATCACGAGGTCGACGCGTCGCAGGAGCTCTTCTGTGACTGTGCCGAGTCACCTGGACGTGTTGCACGCGAGATGCGCCTTCGCACAGGCTCCCGACTGCGAACAGACTTGCTCGCAGATGATATGGCTATCAGATCTACGACCTAAGCTCGCTTCAGCCTCGTTGGTACTCGCATGCAACCCCGACCTGCCATCTCAAACCCCGCACCATTGTCTATTTGAATCATGGGATCACCATGCGTCGGCTCGAGGCTGGACGATAGCCTTTCATGTCCGTGAGAGCAATGAGAGTAGCTGGGAACGTGTGGGGCCCAAAACTAGGTTCGCGGAAGTGCCCAAAAGTCTCGAAGCGCACCCCCACGCTGTCTGCAAGATCTTCCAGATCGCGGGGAAAAGCGAGAAGCGCTTGACAGGCGGCTTCCATTTTCACAAGCATGCGGCGAGATCAGCGGAATTGCATCTCCGCCACCCACGCTCGAGCCGAAGCCAAGGCGCAATTTAGGCGAAGTACGCCCGCGCTCTAAGCTTCTGCAGGGCGACGCTTGGGGAACCCCTTCGATCTCGATACAGCGAGCGCAGGCATGCTTGTATGCGAAGTTGGGTGGTCCGAAACAGGCTACAGTGCCGGCGCACTCGATGGCGGGAAGAGTGCCTGGAAGTGCTCCGGAATGCTTCCCCTGCGCATACGTCTATGCCGACGCTAAATGCTGGCGGGCCATGAGGACGCCACAGAAGACCAAGATTTGGAAGGAGCTCGGAATCGAGGAGCAAAAGGTTCAATTGCCTCTAGGGCCTTGCTCGCCTCGCCAAGAGTCTGTCGGCTAGCCGGATCTCGAGCGCGAATGCCGATTCGCAGGGCGCCACGCGGATTGGACCCTGTTTGCCCAGTGTAGATCGACCCAAGGCATAGTTTGCAGGCAAGAGCTGCACGGCACGCTGCTGTAACTTTGCGGCATGAATGGCGCCTGCTCGCAGCCTCCTCCGCGTATTGTCAGAAAGTATTCCAGCATCTTCCAACGTCGTTCTTGTGTAGCCCGGGTTATCCCGCCTGTCGCGTTCGCCAGGCTTCATCAGGCCCGCAGAATCTTGCAGACGTCGCCCCTGTCCGGTTTCCGTGGCACTTGCGGCATCTCGGGTCTGCGCAGTGCCCTTCCGCCATTGCTGGGCCGACTCCGCCACACACAGAGCCGAATCAAAGCTGCATGCAACGAGTTGGCGCAGCAAAAAGCTGGGTCTTGTGTCTGGTATGCTGCACCTCTACCGAGAATTACACACGCGTCGCACGACTCGGTTCACCTCGCCTCTGCTTCCCTATCCGATGCAAATCATTCGTCTCACCTCACTTCGCTTGTAGGAATGGTCGCAAAGCCGTCGGGAATGCGCTAGAGCAAAGACCTCTTGCGATTCCCGAGGTCCGTTCTGTTTACTTTAGTTGCCCTTTGGCCGCGGTTTCGGTCGTCGTTCTCGCCGCTGTGATCCCCTGCTATGCTGGAACTCCTGCGCCCACACGGACCCCCAAAGAGTGCTCGGCCCCTTCATATTCAATCTCCCCTCAGGAGGTTAGTGCCGAACCCACAAACATCCGCCTCATTGTGCATTTGCGGTGGTCCGAGAGTTGACCCGTCCCCCCATCTTTTTGGTCCGGGGGGACGTCGCTGGGACGCAGTCACGCCCACGGTCGTGCGAAACTTTCACCTCGCCTCCTTTGTTTGTGCTTGTCCGACTTCTTTGGCCCGCATGCTCGGAACAAAGACTGTTCCGTCCACCCCTGTCGAATTCCGGGGGCGCTTGTCGAGAACGAGCTGCATTGGGTCTCTTGTACCACGATCTGCCTGGGACGGGGTGCCCGGCGATTCCCCTCTGCCGCTCGACCTTTCCAGCAACAGTCTTGATACTGTATGCTCTGTCTATCCGAGATATAAAGAAGGCAGAAGGCCTTTGGCATTCGCTTCCCACCTTGTGAAGCACCCACTCCCTCCTCCTCCCTCCGACCTACGACCTAGAGTGCTGGATCAGCTCGTTCGCCTAAGATGAAGAGCCTCATTGCCACCGTGCCCTTCCTGTCCGGCCTCGCCGTTGCGCTGGCCTTCCTCATCAACTGGACGAGCGCATATGAGCGTGGTTCTGCCGGGTTTGCTCTCCAGAAGCGTTTTGTCAACTCGACCGAGCTTGACGCATGCAAGTCCATCTCAAGCGCCATGACCACCCAGGGCAGCAAAGTTGTCTACGCACTCGACCTCTCCTACCTTGGCTTGGTCAAGCACTTCATGACGTCTTCGACGCAGCTGCCAGCCTGCGTGGCCGTGCCTGCCTCTCCGGCCGACCTGTCGGCAGCGATCAAGGTGATCGGCAGCAAACGCATCCGCTTCGCCGTCGAAGCTGCCGGTCACGCCTCGAACCAAGGCTTCTCCTCGACACCTGGCGTGCACATCAACCTCCAGAACTTCCAGCAGGTCAATCTGAGCGGTGACAAGAGCTACGTCGATGTCGGCCCCGGCAACGTGTGGGACAACGTCTACTCTGGCCTCGAAGCCGCTGGCGTTGCTGTCGTCGGTGGTCGTGTCTCGGGCGTCGGTGTCGGCGGCTTCATCACCGGCGGCGGCGGATACAGCTGGAAGACCAACCAGTACGGTCTCACTGGTGACACACTCATCTCGGCAGACATTGTGCTTCCTGACGGCACCCTGACCACGGCATCGGCCTCGCAGAACGCCGACCTCTTCTGGGCCATCAGGGGCGGCGGAAACAGGTTTGGCATCATCCACAACTTCCGTCTCAAGACGGTCCCCCAGGGTCAGGTCTACGGCGGTCTGCGTGTCTACACCGCCGACCAACTGGATGAGCTCGTCAATGCAACCCTTGTCTTCTCCGAGACGAGCAAGGATCCCAAGGCCCAAATCCTGCCCACCTTCAACTTTTTGCTTGGACAGCCCGGCGCGATCAATCTCGCCTTCTACGATGGCCCAACTCCGCCTGCAGGTACATTCGATGCCTTCAGCCCCTCCAACGTTCGTCCTCTCGTCGACGATTGGAAGACGCGCTCGTTGCTCGACCTCGTCAAGAGCGCACCTTCTGATATCCAGGGCGGTCAACGTGGCGCTTTCCACACCGTCTCGCTGGAGAAGTACAGCAAGCCTCTGCTGGACCTGATCGTCAGCGAGCTCAAGTACTACGGCGCGCAGACCTTCCTGCACAGCGGTACCTTCGTTTCGTACGACGTTGAGCCTTTCCTTCCCTACTCGCAATACGCCAAGGACGCCGCCTGGCCGCACAGCACGAATGCACTCCCCCTCAACCTCTACTTCGCCTGGACCAACCCGGCCGAGGACGCGTTCTGGGCCAAGGCCATCAAGACCTCCGCTGACAAGATCGCCGCGCAGGCACGCAGCGAGGGCCAGAACCTCGACAACCTCTACCTATACCCCAACTACGCCGTCACTGGCACTCCTTCCTCGCAGCTGTACGGCCCCAACCTTGGCCGCCTCTCGCAGCTCAGGAAGCAGTACGACCCGCAAGACGTCATGGGCCTCACGACCTACTTCCCCTTCTAACGCGCATGTCTTCACCTTAATTTATAGCTCGTCCCTGAGATCATTTGCCCCTAATTTATCGTTTCAGAAGCCCGATGACAAGTGCCTTCGACCTGCGGGTCATGCTGATTTGCCGTGTGCTTGATCAGGCAACTCATAAAGTGTAATACAGCTGCGGTCCACCAAGTCGGGTGCCTCGTCGAGTGTCACCAAACAAGTCGGATCTCATTCTGCGGCATCGGTTTGAATCGAAAATTAATCGGCGCCGGGTGTTGGCCGCGGATCTCGAGCCGGGCACTTGACAGGTCGCCGTGTTGCCGAACCGATAAATTGACCGGACGGGTTGCCTGCCGCCCCCGCTTTCGACGCACACCTCCCGTAGCTTCATCTGCCATCTTCCAAACCCCTTCGCCGCGAATTCCTGAATCCTTAGCAACTATGGCGCTCCTAGCTGTCGGAACTTTCAACACAAACGAGCTCTTTACCATCCGTTTCGATCACGAGACGGAGAGTCTGGAGCTGCTGGATGTCTCTCAAGCCAAAGGCAACCACTCGTGGCTTTCGACGGCGACCATCCCTAAAGCAGACGATGGTGCGGCGCGTCCGACCCATCTCTACGCGACTTGCTGGACAGAGCCCCCGAGTGTAGCTGCATATCGCATTCACCGTCAAGGCTCCTCCAAGGCTAGCTTCGAACTGCTCAACACGGCCGAGACCGCTGCGAGATCGGGCTACGTCTACGTCGGGTTTCCCGAGAAGGCAACACACCCAGTGCTCTACACGTGTGGCGGGCCCACTGGCGAGGTCGTGGCGATCGATGGCGATACCGGTGCTTTCGATCTCACCGGCTCCAAGCATCCAGCAGTCGTGCCGTCCGAGGCGCCTCAAGACGGAGTGACTGGCATTGGTTCTGCCGGCCGCATCCAGGAAATCGACTTTGTCACAGGCGAATGCTCCATCCCAGGTAAGACGCTTGCTGAGACCAAAGAATTGCGTCGTCAAGAAGCGCAGAAGGCTTCGGGAGGCGGCAGTGGCAGCTCGGCCACCGCGCAACTTGACACCTCGAACGGCAAGAACGCCATGGACTTTGGCGGGTTGCGCCACGGCTCGCACGGCATCGATCTCTCTCCCGATGGCACCCTGTGCTATGTCCCGGACATCGGGCGCAACTGTGTCTGGACTATGCACGTCGATCCCACCAACGGCGCTCTCAGCCTGGCCGATAAGAGCATCGCGCCCCGCAAGAACGATGGTCCGCGTCACACGATTTCCCATCCCGGTGGACGCTACATCTACAGCCTGCAGGAGCACAGCTCGATGGTAGACGTGTTTGAGGTGATCAAGGACTCTGACGGAACGCGCTTGGAATGGCGACAAGGCGTCAAGATCATCCCGCAGAGCGACGACGAGGGCCTCTACTGGGCGGACGAGGTGCGACTCTCGTGCGCCTATGATCGTCCCGATGGCGAGTATCCACTCTACATGTTTGCCTCAACTCGTGGATTGTCTGCCGAAACAAAAGGCTGGGTTGCAGTCTTCCAACTCGACAAGGATGGTCTTGTTGTCCCACAGAGCCGCGATGAAAACGACGAGCTGGGAGATGCGCTTTGCCTGTGGCAATCTCCCACCTCCGGCGGGTGGGCAAACGCCATCGAGCCTGCACCCACCTTCTTGCGTGGGCCCAACGGCACCTCGCAATATGCTGCACTCACGTGCAGCGAGGTGGGCGTTGTGCGAATGCTTCGTCTCGATGTGCCCAACCCTCAGAAGCCCAACCTCGCATCGATCCATGAAGTCGCCACCCTCGCAATTGGAAAGGATGACAACGGCAAGCTCAGGGGGGCCGCCACAGCGGTGTGGATATGAGCACTGACGGTGCTCGAGCGAAACACCTATGACACGGCCCCGCTGCTTCTCGCTTATTCTTTCAACAAGGTTCCTTCCGCTAGAACGACTCCGGTGGGCTCAGTGGGCGCACAAAGGGCATCATACCGGCAAAATCACAAACTTGTTCGCACCACCGCC